GCCAGGCCAAGCGTACCTGTAATCCTAGCACTCTGGAAGACCAAGGCAGGAGGACCACTTGAGCCCCTAAGTCTGAGGTTGCTGTGAGCTATGGTGATGCCACTGCATTCTATCAAGGGCAACAGAGTGAGACTGTCTACAAACAACACCACCAACAAAACAAAATAAAGAAAATAATGCTCATGACCCAAAAAGGGAGAGCTTATGTTAAGCCTTCACATTCCTATGTCAGCAGCAGTTAACATGCCCTGTTAACAATCCAGACCCCAACTCTGATTAGGCCCTCACGTCAGGGCCTATTAATCTCGCCTAACAATGTGTAACCATGTGTCTTACCCTCCTGCATGTGCAGAAGCAAACCAGCATGTGGTGTTCAGTTGAGGTGAGCTGTCATATCAGCTCTGGGACCACAGATGTGGGTCCAAATCCTGACCCTGACAGTGGAAAAAGCACTTCACCTCACTGGGCATTTCCTTGTACATCAAATAGAGATGTGGTAACAATGTGGACAGTGAGGTAAAGGGCCAGGACAATACTTGGCATGCAGTGGTGCTTAATAAGTATAGCTTCCATTGTTAGCTATCACACGGTCAGCCAACCTGGAACCTTTAGGCACAAATATCACCACCCACAGACTGTGCAGGCAGGCTGTCCCTGCAAAGTCAGACTCTGACCCAGGCTGACATAAGCCAGTGCCTTGGAGGAAGGTGCTCTCCTGGTCGGCTGTCCTGCCCACACCAAGGGGTCGAGGACTTTAGTCAGGAGATGCTGAAGGTGCTGGGGAAGAGCCTGCCTGAGCCAGTCACAATGCAGTGCTTGGAGGTAGTAAGTTGTGAGAACCAAAGAATAATGCTCCTAGCACGCAGTGGCCAGATTGGTGGTCATCCATAATCCGTGCCCCTTGCTGACGTCCAGGTGCTTGGCCCCGAGAGCATTGCTCAAACTGACATTTGCCTGTCAAGTACTCACAATCAGCATTGGAAACGATGAGGCTTTTGTTGTAGTCTTTCTGGGTTCACCTTGTTATCTTTGGTCATTAAGTGGAGACAGCAGTCTGGGTTTCTCTGACTGAAGCAAATCCCACAGTACATGGGGAAACTGATTTCCTTGGCTGCCTCTGGGCGGGAAAGTGGACGTTCTCTGCTCTGGATTCTCCTGTGGCCCTGGGCCCCAGCGCTCCCAGCATACCAGAGCCTGCCCCAGTCCCACTGCCTTCCCCATTCTCTGGATTCTTTCTCAGGCCCCATACAGAAGACCGGCTCCACCCCATGAGTGCCTGGGCCTCCTGCCACACCAGGTGCGGCTCTTCCCCTCCTCCCATCACCTCTCTCCAGAGCTAACACAGAACAGAGTCTTCGTGGGTGTGAAGCATCCTCAACTTCATTGAACTTCATCACTCAGAGGAAAACAGTCCTGCAAAACATTTTCCATCACTTCTGTAAATGTGACTTTTCTTCATGACAGATGATGTGCCAGGAAAACCAGCGGAGGCCAAACGTCACTGGACACAGCCAGCAGGAGGGAAGTTCCCACTGAAGGAGCTCAAAAGCACACATTCTCTCAAATGCATTCTAGACCAAAGCCCATTCTCCCTCGCTAGTACAGCAACACTGCCCTTCCTCCAGGGGTGATTGACGGAAGAGCAGGCCACTCAGAAAGTGCACATCACACGCCCTAAGCAAAACTGAGCTGGGGGTGGCGGGCACCTGCGGTCCCAGCTCCTGGGGAGGCTGAGGTGGGAGGACCCCTTGGGCCCAGGAGTTTGAGGTTGCTGTCCGCTGTGATGGTGCCACTGTACTCCAGCCTGGGCAACAGAGTGAGAGACCCTCTCAAAACTAAAGTCAAAGTCAAACGGCATTTTGGCTTCCTCAACTGTCGTCTATACCTGAACACAGTGCGACAGTGTCCACGGGGGCAGAGGTGGGAAGAGCCAAATACAGGAAAGCCCGGAGATGTGAGATTTGCTGCCGAAGCTTCTTCAGCCCATTTTGTTGTTGTTGTTGTTTAAGTTCCCTTTATTTTAGGGCATTAATCAACATCTTTTTTTTTATTATTATTAAATCATAGCTGTGTACATTAATGCAGTCATGGGATACAGTGGGCTGGTTTTATAAACAATTTGAAATATTTTCATCAAATTGGCTAACATGGCATTTTGTTAGTTATTGTGTTAAGACATTAATATTCTACATTTAGAAAGATTCACGTGTACCCTTATAAGATGAACCATAGGCGTGATCCCGCCAATCACCTTCTGTCCACCCATCCTCCTCCTTCCCCTCCCCTCCCTCTCCCCTTTCGCCATATTCTTGGGCTATAATTGGGTTATAGCTTTTGTTAGTTTCATAGTAGGACTGAGTACATTGGATACTTTTTCTTCCATACTTGAGATACTTTGCTAAGAAGAATATGTTCCAGCTCCATCCATGTAAACATGAAGGAGGTAAAGTCTCCATAATATTCCATGGTGTACATATACCACAATTTATTGATCCATTCGTGGGTCGATGGGCACTGGGGCTTCTTCCATGATTTAGCAATTATGAATTGGGCTGCAATAAACATTCTGGTACAAATATCTTTGTTGCAGTGTGATTTTTGGTCTTCTGGATATATACCTAGTAGAGGAATTGTAGGATC